AATAATAACCTGTGACTTTCATATATTCCCTAAATAATTCTACATTCTAATTCCATGTTTATTCTTTATTCTTTCATTTCTATGCTTAAGCAGAGTAAGAATCAGGTAGACCAAAATGAACTGTCCTGTGCTTCCTAGCAAAGCCTTATGTGTTATTCTCTACAGGATATGATTTTTACTAGCCCTGCATTATACCCTTAAAGAAACTTCATTTGTCTTTAGTCTTGCAGTGATCAGGGTGTCCATGATATCCCCTTCTTTCTTACTTGTCGTGGACATCAGCACATGTCTGCACAATCTATTGCTTGCCTAGACCGTGCCTAGATCATTAGGCTACTTCTGGTGTATGAATTATCGCCTGTAATAGATATTAGGGAAAGACCAGAACTGCTTTTCTCATTACTGATAGAGTTAAGAAAATGCTTACACAAACATTTCAGAGAAGACGGTACACTTAAAGAGTGATAAGGAAAGAGGCTGGATGGAGTCCTTGAACGCAGCAGAAAGGACAAAATCAACAGAAGTGCTAAATTTAAATAACTCTTGTTTAACCAACCTAAACAGTGTAGATTCTTCAAAGCCATGTGTCATTTAATACCTATATTTAATGTATGAGAATACTGATAACAAAAGTTGTTCTTTGACAATGCATTAGCATTAAATTTTATTTACATTTTGAGAAGCTATAATAAATTGGGTGTATTCTAACGGTAAACACTAATTTTTATTTTCTACTTTTCTGTTACAGAGATGTAAAGCAAATGCTATTAAAATTAGTAGAACTGCGGTCAAGTAATTGGGGAAGGGTACATATTGCTTCAACATACAGGGAAGCAACTCCAGAAAACGATCCTAACTACTTCATGGTAAAGTACACTGGTATTCTTCTTCCGTAGATTATCCCTGAGATAGCTTTACTGAAATAAATATAAAAATGTTAAAGCACACAAAATTAAAAAATAGAAACAAAAATAAACAAAGTATATTTTAATTCTAGAATGAACCAACATTTTACACATCAGAGGGTGTGCCTTTCACTGCAGCAGATCCAGGTATGTTCTATTTGCTCTGCAAATAATAGCTAAAGTAGAAGTTAATTAAATCTAAATGTTATAGCTCTCAAAGAAGGCAGACAAAAATAGATAGAGCTTTATTAAAAGTTCCAGAAAATGCTTTCTATCTATTCAGATGGAATCCTAAGTGTCATGCTAGTTTCATTGTCTGCAGTCACAGCAGCAGCATATTGAATCCATTGCTGTTTCTGTCATTTGTAGACAAATTATTAACAAAGATAAATAAACCTAGAGATACAAAGTTTTGTGACAGATAGTTATGGAGAAAATCCATCTAGAGGTAATCCTCATTTAGGAACCACAATTGGAACTAGCAACTTGGTTGTTAAACAAAGCTATTACAACCATTCTTACAATCTTACTTCAGTTTTCCTTTATTTTACAAACCTGTAAAGGTCTAAAATGTGAAGATTGGCAATAGCACTTAGACTTACGTTCTGCTCCATAGTGCTTTACAGCCCTCTCTGAGCGGTTTACAGAGTCCCCCCAAACAATCTGAGTCCTCATTTTACTGACCTCGGAAGGATGAAAGGTTGAGTCAATCTTGAACCAGTGGGAATTAAACTGCTGACTGCAGCCAGCAGTCAGCAGAGGTAGCTTGCAATGCTGCATTCTAACCACTGCACCACCAAAAGGTCGCTAAGCAAGAACTATTTGTATGGAATTGCTAAGAGTACTTGATGACAGTTAATCCATCAATGATTGCTATCAGTCATGCTTTATTCCATACCTGCATCCTACATCCACAGTCTTGGAGCCCTTTTTTTCTTCGTGTGACTTTTTATAATTGTACTGTTTAGCACTTAGTTGCTTTTGACTAATTGTTTAAAGCACAGAAGGTGTCTTTCCACTTTATTGTGCATTGCAGACATTTACTTTTGTTGGCAGTAAGAAAACCTTGCTACAGTACAGTATATTGTGAGTTCTTTAGTGAGACCTATGCTGCTTGAGTGCAAACATTATTTGAAGAAAAGCAGGGGAAGAGAAAGCTCAGGATATGCATGATGAAGTACAATAAAATGATACGTTTAAGCAAAATCAATGTGTTATTAAGAGCTTACCCAAATTATCAAATACATATCTGTAATAATAATAAGCTTGGATAGGGTACTTCATAAAATGTTGATATTATAGATTACCAAGAGAAATATCAAGAACTTCTTGAAAGGCAAGATTTGTTTCAAGGATATGAAGAAAATGGAACAGGAGCTGGAGACCAGTAAGTTCTTATTTTAGTCTAACTTGTGATGCAGACAATCGTTTTAGCATGATCGCTAACATTCCTAATTGGTCACTACTTTTCAGGAATATTTTTGTCAAAATTTATCATTTTGAAAATACTTTAGAATTCGAACTGCTTCTTTCAGTTTTATTTGCTGATATTCTACTAAATGGTAACATTAATAAATACCTTAAGAGATCTACAGAGCTCTTTTTACTAATTGTTGCTTTTTAAAAGAATATTTTCATAATATTTTAGGCCCTACAGCAAAAAAGCTACTTTAAGATTATTATTTCTGTCTTTCTGTTCAGTTCCTTATCTGATCTGTTTTTTGGATCCTATAAATTCCTCTGTTTGTATTTGAATGTGCAGCGGAGACCTTAGCAGCTGGAATGTAGATGGTTTCCTGTTGGAAAGAATACTTGTTTTGTACTTAGGAATTTATATTGACCATTCTTGCTCCTAAGTGATGCTAACATTTATAAATGTGAACTTCTTTGCACCTAAGAAATTTAAACTTGGTGTGCAATGAGAGCTTGCCAGTGTTCAACTTATACAAATATATATCCATAACATTATTGGTATTTTTTATTAATATTTTTAAAAGTTGAATTTTGAAAAATGTGTATTTAACCTGAATTTTATTGCAGGTACTATGAGCAAGAATGGTCA